TATCAATATTCTTGGTGAAAGAAAATACACTTTGTATGTCATTTCTTTTATTCAAACTTATTTTAGACGAGCAATTTACTTCGCTCTTGTATAAAAATCAATGTCTACAAAGCCTCTAAAACTATTCAGTAAATAAATCCATGGCTGTGTTCATACTGGAATTAGTATCCAAAGTTAACTTTCAATATGGATCCATGAATCCACTTGCTGTAGGTGGCCACAGATTTTCAGAAAAATTGAACATCCATAAATACGGTCACAAAGTTTTGTAATAGTAGGCCTAAATATAACTTTACTAAAGAAATGTGCCAAATAACTGATATATCGATGTCAAAGTAGTATCAGGTATTTCGAAAAGAGCATCAAATGTTATGGCACATTTACAGCAAATTCTTAATAGCATCTAAAATAAAACCGGACTTTTAATAAGCTATACTACATTATCTCACTTACTTCATATAAAACAAATTACACTGCATTCTGCTTACTGTCTGCAGAGCTATCAAGTTTATAAATTTGAGATTTCATTTACTCAAAAGCCGGGCAATTCTAAAGCCCTTAGCACTAGAACTTGGGTATTACATGTATCTCTAGTTATGTAAAGTTAATTTCACAATAAAATATTTTCCAACAAATAAAATTTTTCTTCATATTTTTTTTCTGTTTCCATAAATGGATGTGAAGTGTTTCTAGACTGTGTCAAACATTTTAATGTTTGATCTCCCAACCTCATACATTCTTGTGACAGCAGGTTGGATGTTATTTTTAAGTGCACTAATAGTAAGTGCAGGGGGAATGCACCACACACAATTACACAAAACAAATCTACGAACAAGACACAGAAATAACAAACGAACGCTGCGATATTTTGAAACAACCTCAGTTGAGTGTAGGATTTCTGATAAAGTTCATTAGACCTACAAAACTTAAATTTATTGGAAATCTGTTGTTGGGGTGATCAACTATAAACTGAAAGTAGTCATAATCTGAGCATTATAGAATATATTCTAGCATATCAGTCCATGTACATGTCTGTCTATGGCCTATTCAGAAATGAATTAGAATAGGGTTTTAAACATTTCTGCACCAATAAGAGAAAAGAGAAGGAGGGGATAATCCAATAATTTCACATAGTTACAATAATATTTCACACCCCTACTGACCTAAGTCACTGGGTTGTTTGTATTTACTACACGAATTTATGAAGACAATTGTGGATGTTACAAGAGATAGCTTTTTTATTTGTGTGAATATTTTATTGTGAAATCGATATTAAGCAACCGGAGATAAGCTTCGTGTTAAGTGTTTCTGATTTATTTATTGCTCATTTCTATAGTAAATAGAAATCTCTGATTTATAAAGCACATGACACAGAGAATAATGAAATATGTGGATTAAGAAACATTCACACTTCAAAATAGCCATATTGTTATTAATTTGTAAAAACTATCCCTGTCAATTCAACATGGTGGAGTTAGAGAATACTATGGTCAGGGGTGGATTGGGTAGCTCTGGGCCCTCAGACCAACTGGTTTCTTTGGTCCCCCATCGTGGTGAAGAATATGTGATAAGAAAACGAAACAAGCTTGATTCATTATATTTTTCAGTGTATGCCAAGAATACCTGACATGACAAGAAAACAAAACTAGCTTGATTCACCTTTCCTACACCCCACTTATAGATCATATTTCTCCTCGGATTCTGGTCAGTATATTTTTCAGTGGATGCAAAAGAAGAATTTTATTTATTTTGAACAAAATAAGTCAGGGTTTCTTTCCATCCAGGCAAATGGGCCCAGTCAGCCCCTGACCACAGTCACCTACAGACTTATTGAATCATACAAATCTTCACATTTTTCAAATACAAAGTTTGAAAACACTTATTACTAAAATAGGTTGGCTAACAAAATAATGTAAATTTATAGTAAGGGATGTTATAGAAAGATAAACAACGCACATTATTCAAGTACATTGCACCCTTAAAATCTTCAATATTTAGGACCATAAAAGGCTGATTATTGACCACAAATTATTCTAGCTTGATAGCTTGAGTAGACTTATTGCTACCTTAAACCAGTACACATGGTTATTTCAAATAGAATTTATATACATTATAAACATTTGGTCTATGTGACATCATAGGTGTTTGATAAAATTCAGTGCATTTAGGTTAATTGGCAAAATCCTTTTCTTGGCAAGAGAAATATTGGTTACTTTGCATGAATATATATTCATAAATTATGAATGGATTTAGATGAAATGATTTTGGTGTGTTAAAGGACAATATTGGTGTCAGTCATTATCACATATGTAATAGTACTAGTGATTTAACATGTTCCAAATATAATTTTAACATATTGCTACGAAGACCAAAAGTTGTTATATGAGACTGTGAGAGGATATCTGACAATTCAAAACAGAAATTGACTGTCACTAGAAAAAAGAAAACAAAAAAATAAGAATACAATGAATAAAAACAAGTGAATGTACGGACTATTTCTATTTTTCTCGTGTTCTCTTATCTAGTGACATTTAATTACTTTTTTGAATTGTCAGATATCCTCTCACAGTCTCACATAACAACTTTTGGTCTTCGAAGAAATTATTAGTGAGCAGAAATTCTCCTATGTATCTGTTATCACTTGTCACTTCAGTCAGTTATATAGAAGGATAACTTTTGTTTTCCTTTTGCATTTGGGGGTCACGGTGGTTAAGTAGTTAAGATGCTGGCTTGCTAGCCTGGAGGTCGGGTGTTCGATCCCTGAATTGGCCGAGAAAGTTCATTCAGATTGTCCGGCATGGTTCCCCCTTGTCAGTGATGCAAACGGAGGGCCTGACAAGGAAAGCTGTCTTGCCGTTCGAATGGGACGAAAAACTGAGGTCCCGTGTACACATTGGCGTGCACGTAAAAGATCCCTTGACAGTTGGAATTTGATATAAGAGTAGGCCATAGTGCTGCTGTCCGGGCAAAATTTCCCTCATAGCACACTGTATGGCGTATATGCCCATCTTCATTAGCCCAGTTCGGAGCAGAACAGTAGGACATTAAACCCCATTTCATTTCATGTCCTTTTGCGTTCGTCACTTCCTTTAATGATCTCTGTGTTAAAATTATATTTGGAACCTGTTTAACGAGTTCTATCACATGTGTATAATGACTGACACCAATATTGTCCTATCAAACACCAATCTGGTTAAAACACAGATCCTATTTCGTTTCGTTTTTATAGTTCAAAATTGTTTTACTTGTCTTTACTACACTTGGATCTGGAAGAGTTGTTATTTAACTCGTGTTCTGAATGGTGTCAGGGATAAGCCAATGAAACGGCCTGTTACATGTTTTTCACGGAACTGTGGGTAATCCACTAGTAACATCAATGCTGATTGGTTAATCAAATGTCTGACGTCATAGGGTCATAAATCGGTCTTTTGACCCCCGACGTGAAATATCACTATAACTTGTCAGATCTTCATGTAGTGTAGGGCATCGAAAGTATAAAAAAACGAAACGAAATATAGATCTGTATTTTAATCAGATTGATGAAACACAACATTTTCAAACAAGTAGTTTGTGTTAAAACATCATTTCATTTCAAAAGTGTGTGTAAGTGTATTAAATACAAAGTTAGAGCATAAGTGCATATTTTTATAAAAAAAAATAGAGATTGAATGAATAAATGAAATGGGGTTGAACATCATACTTTTCTGCACCTACCAGACTAATTATAAAACAGAGAAAACCCTAGCAATGAATACAAGAAAGAAGCAACAAAAATGATGCGACCAGCTCCGACGCGGCTGTCGTTTGCTGATTGACATTTTCTAGACAACAATAGTAAGTCTGAAAATTTATGGCATAAAGTAAGAACGTCAAAACGCTAACATTTCAGAAAGTGTTCAAAATTAATGGTTAAAATTAACAATTTAGAAACAAAAATAAATTGGTAAAAAAAACATACTGTATTATTCAACTGATTCATTGCACAATATATGACCAGCATACTTGTAAGAAATGTCAATATTGGTATGTTGAAGAAAATAAGTTTTGACATTTCTTTTATAAATCTATCTGTGTTCCACCCTTAGCAACTCATTTAAAATAAAAAGATCTTATTCATAAAAGAAACAGTTCTTTATCAGAATGCCTGTGAATAAAATACGTTACATTGAGTAACACCTATTTAAGTGAAGGGAATTTTAAAACTTCAAAATTGAATTTCTCCATTTTTTGAAAATACTGACATTAAATTTATATGGATATGAAAGTCAATTAGAACAGAGGCAATGATGTTCTATAATCTTACAATTCCAATATGTTCATTTCCCCCTGAAAATCAAATTTTCATCTCACAAATAAATGCAAGCTCTATTTAACAGATAAGAATATATGTGCATAATTAATTCCATTATAAATGATATTACCAACATGTATTATTGAACAATGTTTTGTTGTGGAAATAAAGCTGGGGAAAAATACACATTGTTTACATTATTTATTACATCATAAGTTACATCCCTCGGCCAGCTGAGGTTTGTTTACATAAACTGTCTCAAAAAATCGTGGGTGAATTAAACGTCAGTCGTGACAAGAATTTTAGGCGATACCAAACAATACCACCCCTTGCAACACCCGTGCACACCTGTTTCACGGACCACGGGATTGCGTATTACATCCAATGTTTGCCATTGAATAAGAATTTTCGAAGCGACGAGGTCTTGAACGAGACAGCGACCAATCAAGCGTAACTGATATGCGCTCATTGACAACAATAATTAGTACTACTAATCAAATGAAAAACTAATTTAGCTGTCATTTTGACATCTTGAAAGATAAGTGGATCAATTCAAGTTGAACTATCTTGACGAGGCTTGTCTTAGTTCATAACATCTGACCTAAATACTGCTGCGCGCCATCTTGGTATTACCTCATACCCATAGGTCACTGAAAATAGCATTTTAAAATAACAGTGTAAAATAGCCCCTTTCCCTAAGTAAACTTACCTCCAAGTAAATCCGTAATCAAAATAAAAACAGCGGCGATGGAACACCAGTAGAGATAATTTTTCGCCATCTAGCTTTTGACAACATGTATGCAATTGTTAGACATGGTGCACTGCAGTACGATTACCGTGGAGCGATTACACTCTATGACGTATTCACTGATATGCAGAACAAACTGAGTTGTTCAAACAAACGTTTGGCTGAGTAGGCCTGTACAGCTATTTAACAGTATTTTTATCCATAGCAGGGCGTTGAACTATATTCGCCAAGTGTTGTCCATAATACAACTCACAGATGTACAATTTTATAGAAGTCATTCCTGGCAATATGAATAATGGGCCGTCTAGCTTCAACGAATTGCCTAAATATCGGTTATGTCATTGATTTTTCAAACGGACCCAGACATATTAATCGTTGTAGGTCCGTGACTATTACTACTATTAGTCTTATTCCAACCAGAACTAAATTTTATTCATCCGGCAACTGTTTTTTTTTTTTTGTTTTTTTTTAAAGATAAATCCGATCGACGTCAAAAATGAAGTTGCTAATCTTTTTATTTAATTTTAGGAACTTTGGAATTTTTAACATATTGAAAATCTATATAGGCCTATAGTATTTACAAAATATTAAAAAATATAAAAAAGAGGAAAAATACTATCTAAAACTAAAATGAAATGAAATGAAATGGGGTTTAACATCCTACTGTTCTGCTCCTAACCTGGGCTAATGAAGACGGGCATACGCCATACAGTGTGCTTATGAGGGAAATTTTGCCCGGGCAGCGGCGCTACAGCCTACTCTTATATCGAATTCCAACTGCCAAGGGATCTTTTACGTGCATTCCAATGTATACACGGGACCTCGGTTTTTCGTCTCATCCGAAGGACTAGACAGCTGTCCTTGTCAGGCCCTCCGTTACACGAAACAATTGCGGCACACCTGGCTAAATATATGAAAAATATTTGAATTTTGCAAAATAAAAAACATGGCAAGTCATAGACGGCATACAACCTTCGGACTAGTCATAGACACATAATATGATTCAAACTAATAAAAAAAAAAACCACACAGCTATGAACTTAATTTATTGCAGTGTTTCGAATTTCATCAGTTAAATAGCTGGCTTCTTTAGTGAGAAATTTTCTAAGTGTGCCGTTCAAAATTTCGCGGCACATTGAGGAAGATCTTGCGACACAGGTGTGCCGTGGCACATTGGTTGAGAATCACTAGGCTAGTGTGTCCAGCCATTCGGCAGAATAAAATTCGGCGCCGATTGATTCGGCTGATCTGTCCACTGCATAAGGGATGGGTTTTATATTTATAGGGTAAAGTCGCTCTTTATCTGGAAAAAGGGATGGGTTTTATTGGGGAAAGTCGCTCTTTCCATAGGATACGTTAAAATCTGGGGAAAGTCTTTTCAGCAGAGGCATTAAATATCTGATAGACGGGATAGGTATTATAGGGGAAAGTGGCGCTTTCCAAAGGATGCGTTAAGTGTCTGGGGAAAAGTCGCTCTTTTCAACAGTATAGCATTAAATATCTGGAGTGAAAGGTGGGTTTTATAGGGGAGCATCGCTCTTTTCAGCAGAAGCATTTTAAAAATATCTGTAGTAAGGGGTGTGTTTCATTTTGGAAAGTCGCTCTTTCCAAAGGATGCGTTAAGTATCTGGGGAAAGCATAAATATCTGGAGTGAGTGGTGGGTTTTACCAGGGAAATCTTTTCAGCAGAAGCATTAAAAATCCGGAGTAAGGGATGAGTTTCATTGGGAAAAGTTGCTCTTACATATCTGGAGTAAGAGATGTGTTTCATGGGGAAGGTCGTTCTTTTCAGCAAGAGTATTAAATATCTTGAATGGGGCATGGGTTTCATTAAGGAAAGTCATTTGGAGTTTCAGGTTGCATTAGATATTTTTGGTTGGCCATTCTTAAAATGGATGAACTAAATGTGGGTTCCATCTATCGGGTCACCAAGCCCAGGCTCGATCGGACGACCTTGAACAGTCTCCATGGGCGTCACACATGGGGGTCCGGGGTGGGGGTCTGAATATACTTATTAGTTAAGATTCTATCTGTATATAGAGAATCTCCTACGAGTGGGAGATTTTATCACACAATCCTTTCTTGGAGCTCGCGACCTCTTGAACTAAATCGACCACGGGGACACACGAGTTGACCATGTTTCGACTGCCAGAGGTCAAGGGCAACGGTGGATTGGGGTCATGACCTAAGACAGCACGACAGCCCCGTGCCAGACCTTCCGGATTATGACCTTCAACTCGACCTTAACCTCTGCGGCTAAAGGTTAGATAGAACCCGAAGTTTTGGGAGTTCTTTGTCCCTAATGTCAAAGGTCAGATCAAAAATCAAAGTGCCATGGCAAAGGTCAATGACCTGTCCATCCAAGGTTGTGAACGTTGGCTTGCCGCGCGGGCCTGGGGCCGATGGCCTAGCGCACCGGGTTAGGTCGATATATCGGTCACCTTGACCTTGACCTACCGGGGTCACTTAAGCCTAGATAACATCCGGATGTCAAGGTCCGGTGATCGTGGCCTTATTTGGTGGACCGATAGGGGACGAAAACTGAAATATTTCCGGGGACCCTAGCGGGTCAAGATCACGTCTTTTGGTTGGACACACGTGTTGACCATGTTTCGACTGCCAGAGGTCAAGGGCAACGGTGGATTGGGGTCATGACCTAAGACAGCACGACAGCCCCGTGACAGACCTTCCGGATTATGACCTTCAACTCGACCTTAACCTCTGCGGCTAAAGGTTAGATAGATCACGAAGTTTTGGGAGTTCTTTGTCCCTAATGTCAAAGGTCAGATCAAAAGTCAAAGTGTCATGGCAAAGATCAATGACCTGTCCATCCAAGGTTGTGAACGTTGGCTTGCCGCGCGGGCCTGGGGCCGATGGCCTAGCGCACCGGGTTAGGTCGATATATCGGTCACCTTGAACCTTTCAGATGACCTTGACCTACCGGGGTCACGCAGGCCGAGATAACATATCCGGATGTCAAGGTCCGGTGATCGTGGCCTTATTTGGTGGACCGATAGGGGACGAAAACCGAAATATTTCCGGGGACCCTAGCGGGTCAAGATCACGTCTTTTGGTTGGCCATTTTAAATAAAAACAAATGTGGGGTCGATCTATCTTGTCACAATACCCTGGCTCGATAGGACGAAATTTTTGGTAAATGTGACCTCAAAAGACAGAATAACCGAGTTATGAGTGGGCTGGTCAAAGGGGAGGTAACTCAGCAATCCCGAACCAGATCCGTCGATTTTGAGGTCCCGGCCTCTTAAACAAAACCGACCCTTGGGAAACGCGTGGTGGCCGTGTTTTGACCATCAAAGGTCAAGGTCAACCTAGGCTACCATTTGGGATCGGTTTGAGCCACTTCCGGTCACTGCAAATGAAAGTGATTTTTTTTTAGGGTACCGGACAACTCCCCGGGGTCAATATACCTCACGTGTACCAAACCCCGGGGCCCGGCCGTGGGCCCTTCTAGGTGTTTGCAAAGGGAAATTTGGTATTTTTCATCAAATTTGGCGTCTGGGGGTGGGGCGGTCATTGAAACGGAGAGCCATGTTCACGGCCCTATATCTCAGCACCTATGCATCAAAATTAATCGATTTCTTGAAGATCGGTAGACCGGGACCTCGGTATTAAGATACCTGGTTCCACCTCAATTGAAATGGCAGGGTCATCAACATTGACCCCGAGTCATCCGAATATTACTTTTATGGCAATATATGGGTTCCTATGGGGCGTGCACCCTACATTTTGTTATGGAGACATGTCCTAAGGGCCTCGAATCGATCCCCATTGGAAACATTAATAAAGGTTCTATTGAAGCGGTGAACATCACTAACCCAACCCCTCTTGAAGTGGCTAACTTCAGTTGAATCGGGTGAGCAGATCGTGGACTCATCGCACGACAGTAAGAAACTAGCATTAGGCAAATAGGGCACGTGCCTTAGGGCCAGCGTAAAATCCAGGCTACTGAAATCTTATATATAGTAATTACAGTATACTGTCAAAAAAAAAAAATGGTTCTGAATTTTTTGTAATATATTTTCTGTTGTAAATTTAACTTTCTTCCTTTTTATCGGTGAACCCAAAATATCTGTATTTTTCAGGCCACCTATCAAAATGTACCTTCGGGTCATAAGAGCGTTAATCCGACACTGACACACACCAATGCAAGTTCCTAACTTCTACTTTTCGAGTTGCATTGTTGCTTGGTGTGCGTGTTCGCTACTTTTTTACTTTTTATACTACCACTATATCCGGAAGCAGTGTCTTATGAATTTATTGCCCTCGAAGATCGTACGTAACTAACGTACGAAAATTAAATGGTAGCTGGCTTTTTTTTCCGCACGTATACAGTGAATGGCCATTTTGCTCAGTAATCCCAGCCAGAATTTGGCTATTTTTTTAAAATTGCGTTAAAGTTTTAAATTTTGGTTTAGAACTGAAATAAATTAACTTTTAGTCAATCCCCACGCTAAAAACATTAACAGAATTGATTGTGTATATCTGAAATAGACACGACCGGAGCACAAAATAGTGCCAATATGCCGACATCAAATCTAGAGTTGTAGATGATGTTTTTTTTGTGAAAAATCATTGGAAGAAGCGATAAGACGTTCTGTACGGATTATACAGTCCTAAAGGCTACAAGAAGGCTATTGTTTACAATGTAACATCGTGTCTTGTAATGTTGATAATGATCATAATGATGGTGTTTACATTTGTTTGTTGATGTGACCTCATGACCTGTGACGTTTAGATAACGTCATATGGATATCATGGGGTGAATTCGGGCGGTCCAACTCGAGGCACTTGAGTCGACTCGATTTCGTTCGCGCGTTCCGAGTTTCGGTGATGTCGGGTCATGTGACCAACTCGAGTGACCTACACGAATACTCCCCATTCCACGAGGAGCATGTCGAATCGAGTCGAATCGGAACACGTGATCTTCTGAATGAAATGGCGGCGAACGAAATTTGTTTTAAATGTGAAGCCTGTGAGCTTATCACAGACACGCTAAATGAAATCCAAAATGGTAATGAGAAAGCGAGTAAGGCACCAGTGCAGAGTACAAGTGGGATAGAACAGCATTTTTGGAGCGAGTCGGCAACTAAAGCCATGCTTAACATGCGTTTATTGATGAATAAAGAGTTTCTGAAAGCCCGCGCCCATTCAGTGCTTTGGAAAAAAGTTGTTCAGGCAGTGAAAAAACAAGACTCGGATTTTGAAGCTACAGAAACGCAATGTGTTAACAAGTTCAAGGCAATAAAAAAGCAGTATGTCCAATGTGTTGATCATAACAGCAAAACCGGTAATGATCCAATAACCTGTAAATTTTACGATGAGTTTGATGAAGTGTTCGGTACCTCTGACAGTGCAAAACCCCTGTTTACTTTGGCGAATGAAAAGCGAGAACCCCCAGCCCCCCAAAAGTTCAAGTGTATGGCTAAGAATCAGGGTAAAAATAATGCAGATACAGAGGACGCCGATACCAGTATTGAACTAGAGAAGGATGATGAGGGTGAAGATGTTCCAGGGCGAAAAAAGCGGATTAGAGGCCAACCCACTGCTGTTCTGAAATGGCTTTCCAATTACCAAGAAGATCAAAAAGAGCAATTCAAACAACGGGAAGACCGAGCTGAAAAACAACATCAGGATAAGTTGGAGCGATTTGATAAGCTCCTCTCACTTTTTGGCAATAAGGATAAGGAATGAACACAATTTGTTGCGATATTCGTCGTACACGTAAAACGATACATAACAAAAACTATAACTGTTTTATTCATATTTTATTTAATGGTCATATGTTCAAAGATTCGTTGAAAAACACTGTATAATTCTTTTATCCATATTTTAATGTACATAATTATCATGTTCAAAGATACGTTGAGAACATTGTATAATTGTTTTATTCATATTTTAATTTTCATAATTATCATGTTCAAAGATTTGTTGAAAAACATTGTTCATGTCAGTTGAACAGTGAGTCGTTGACGGTGTTTCTGAATTAGTTGATGTTCCAGTTAGGCCACATAATTGTATTTCGTATCTTAGTGCGTGGATGAAAAATTCACATTTTTGCTAGTTTAGCTTTTTTATTCAATGTTTATTTTATTGTAATATCGGATTTATTACAAAAGTTAAAAATAAATGTTTTAAATAAATTCCAAACAAGTTTATTGTGAAGCTCTTTATAAGGCCTGTATTTTCGGAGCAAATTTCAATACAGGATCAACGATTTACGATGGCGACTAAACGGTTTCTCTTCTGATATCCAGCAGCCGCATTGATGAGGACGTTTGGTTGGTGTCCTGGTTCATCACCCAGTACTTCTAAATCGATGTATTGATCTAGGTCATCATGAGCCAACACACATATATTGTGGAGTACACAAGCCGAAATGATGAATTCACAGATATGTTGCATCAGCCTGCTCCTATCTCCACACTGATCTGTGAATGGAATGTCTCGGAGTTTTCTAAATCGCCCTTTAAGGTGGCCGATTGCCCTTTCAACCACTTGTCGATCACTAGAGAGATTGTAGTTGAAATTTCTCTGATGGGGTGTCAACTGTCCATTGTCCTTGAATGGGGGTATTAGCCATTTTTTCACAGGGTAAGCGGAGTCACCGAGCAAGTGGTCATCATCTTCGAAGATGCGATGGTCCTCCGCCTTTTCATAAATGGGACTATTCCGAAGAACACGGGCATCATGTGCTGACCCTGGATAACCGACAAAAACATCATTAATCATTAACATATCATCAACCACAACTTGTAACACTACTGAGCAGAATTTTTTTCGGTTCAAGTAAGACCGGTCATTGCCAACTGGGTTCGTTATTCTTATATGTGTTCCATCGATAACACCAATGACGTCAGGTATTTTCGTAAATTTTCCTTTTATCTCTCTTCTCCTTTGATTATTCGGCCATTGAATAAACTTATATGATAAAGCTGATATAACTCCTGCTACGTGATGAACAATACTATGCACAGTAGATTTTGACAACTTAAAGTTGAAGGCTATATTTCTCATGCTGCATTGGTTGCTCAAATACCACACAAACACGAGTAGTTGCTTCTTAGGCGGAACTGAATCATAACCTCCACCAACGTAATTAACATCTGGTACCAGATATGCTTCTACTTCTCCCAAAAGTAGCATGAATGTTTCTTTATTTAGTCGGCAATGATACCTAAAATCTTCTTCATTCAAATTAATCACAAGCTCAGTGAAACCCTCCACTTTTGGCACACTTGGTCTTTTGGAAATTAATGCAGGAATAATTGGAGCTATGTTACTGTCTTCATAGTCATCATTTTCATTCAATATTTCTTCCAGAAAAGCATAAATTGCAAATCTGTCTATTGGCGCTGTCATTTTGGAATTGGAAATTTACTCGAGAACGTTCGTACGATCAACTCTAGTCCCGAGTGACTCGAGAGCGTTCGGGTAATCAACTCTCGTAACTCGCGAGTTGGAAAACCCGAGAGTCAATCGCGTAGAACGCCCGAATTCGAACATGGCTATTTACTGTGTCAGAGTCACTTCTCTGTCGTTCAGATTGGTCGAAGATAAGTCAGTGATCATATCGCCTCTTATGTTCTCAGTGAGTAAGGCGATGGTTCATTCACTAGCGGCTTGCAAGTTCCGGTCCGGTGTTAGACTAGAATATAGAAAGTTTCTAGGAATTTTCCGGCCTTGCCCCCTTTCGGTGGTGCAGGTTGGAGAGCCTGGCAGAGCTCAGTGCAGCGGGTCGAATAATCGTGGTTTCTTCAATTCTTTCCTCGCCCTTCTAATATCAACGCCATTCACGCATATACCTACTTGTGCAATCAGATTGATTGATTCTTTGAAACGCCATAACTTTACTTCTAGTGAATGTATCTTGATAGTTCCTATAATTATCACAACCACTTGCTTAAATTCAAGCATCATGCTGTATAGTCGGGTATCTGGTTGAGGGGTCCCCAAAGGTCTTCCAAACAAAAATCGTCCAAAATAAAAAAGATAGGTTTTCGAGTAATTAGCATAAATCCAATATGGCCGCCATTGGCACCTTCAAACTCTAATATCTCGGTAATGATTGAGTTTATATGGTGTAAATGTGTTAGGGGTAGATATAAAAGTGGCACCAAAGAATCCAAAAAAGCATAACGTCACACTATAAACCTCAGAATGCCTCGTTCGGCATTTTAGTCCAAACGTGGCAAAAACGTGCTAATAAATTTTTTCCACAATTTTGCCACGTTGTAACGTGGTAAAAACAAAATGCCACGTTTGTCTGGAGTTCCAAAACGTATTTTTCTTTTAAATTGCCATGTTTTTGGAACGAGGTATTTTGACCAGAATGAGGCTGTTCACAAGGTTGGATACATGATTTTTCAAAAGGGTTGGGGGTGGGATTCAGCCAAACCAATGTTTCGTCGAGCGTAGCGAGGACAGCATAACATTATTTGGTGACACTTTCAAGCGATTATGTTGAGAAAAAACCACAAGGCAAAGTCGACTAGAAATGACATTCGTTGCATAAAAGAGTTTGTTACATTCTTTGTTGCAGTTTCATATGTTCACACAACATTTCCAACAAAGTGATGTGAGAAATGAAAATCAGCAAAATTCAAAGCGGAGCGAACTCAATATTTGTTGGTTTTTTTTAGGCCTTTGAATATTATTAATTACAAATATGCTGTTCCTTTTTTTATATAATAAACGATATTATATTTAATATATCTCATGAAATTGTATGTAATTGGCACTCAGTTGTATGTATAAAAATTGCAAAAGCAATTAAATTAAAATCCATCGAAAAATGAAATTAACACAATTTGTGTTTATATAATGACATGCAAAGCGGGGCGACGCGAACAACTATATTAAAAATGATAATTACATTTACATCCTTCAGGTGACCGGCCTACGTCTGGATTCTTGTATAAAGGGTCGATCTGGACTATATTTTGGAGAATAAAACTGCTTAAAGATACATTATGGGAGATTCGGTAACGAGTTGGCAGTTCTAACTATAATAGTTAAAAACTAGGTAATGTAAAGGCAATTTGGTGAAAATTTCATTCAAATTGATCAACTATGAACCGAGAACTAAGCGACTGAAATTCCCATAAGCCTCGGTCATCATTACTAAAGTTAGTACGATAAACAGCATAGTCTCGATTATCCATTTAATCGAGAAGGAAAGTTATGCAGTAAATCGGCTTACAATCCACTAAAGATCGCAGGCTAGCGCTGCCATCTAGAGTTGATTATGGCCTGGATAGGTTAATTAATGTCTAATTAATAATTTAGATAACATTTCAGGCCTAAAGAAAGACCTGAAATAGGCAGATTTAGCTCTTGCATAATGTATGTTTAATTTTGTGTTAAAAGCCATTAAAATCTTCTACCTTTGGACCGAGCAACTGACGAGGCATTCTGAGGTTTATAGTGTCATACGTCCAACAATTGGCATAAATCCAATATGGCCGCCACTGGAACCTTAAAACTGCAATATATGGGGAATGGTTGAGTTCAGAGGGTGTAAATGTATTGCGGGTAGATAAGAAAGTGCTACCAATGAATCAGAAAAAAACATTGCCAAAGTACGTCCATGTGACGTCATAACGCCACAGTCCAATTATTAGTATAAATCCAATACGGCCATCCTTGAAAACCTTAAAACTGGTTGGTAATTGGTAATGGTTGGGTTTAGAGCATGCAAATGTATTATGGGCAGACAATGTGAAAGGACGTAATGGTTAAACAAAGAACCGGGACAATTCTTCGAGAATGTTATGATAATTCACGAAAGGGGGATTTGAAATTCGACCAGAACAACTTTATCAAATCAGCAGCCACATCAATCTGCAGCAAGATTATTAAACAAAATCAATCACCCATCCAGAAAAGTATTACCTGGATCAGAAACAATGAAGTTTTTGAGTGGAATGACAAATTTTGCATCAAATTTGTTTACACTTTTTTATTTACAAGAGGTGATTGTAGGCGATAGACTGAAGAACACATCTCTTGGGCTATGTTTGGTAAAAGCGGCGAGTCCCCGAGTAATTTTATACCAATTTCATTTAGCGTTAGCGATACAGCTACATCATATTTATGGGCCAGGACTTCTGATCGGTACCTTGAATGCATACGGCTTCTGTACTTATTTGAAATTAAAACAGCAACACAAGCCTAACTTACAACCGACAGACCCAATCTGTTTCACAGAGATTTTTTAATATCTCTGTTACAGATGACTGTTTCAACACGTGACGTCACATCACGCGGCGTCCATCATTGGCTCAATAGCGCGTGCATTGTTTACATAAGACGTCACGGATTCGGGCCAAATAGTGAATTTTACTTATTTTAATATCCATTTACACTAAATAGGAAATGATTTTTACCTACAAACAATTCAAACGACTTTTATTTATTTTTCTAATAAATGAAAAAAATGTTTCAGAATTTAATTTGTCGAAAGAAAAAAGTTAATATTTTGTAGTCATTAAGTGGCATCGATGTCATCCTTATCAGTGATTGTAGCGGCCACGCGAATATTCACTGCGGATCAGTGTGCGACAGACCTTCTTGAGAAGCTCCAGGACTAGACCCGCCAAATTTGTTAACCAATTCACCCGACACCAACTTAAAAATTCATAGTCAACTCTTCGCATGAACCTGAGCCAATTGCATACCTGATACTACAGTCCCTGAAATCGTCAATAAAGAAGAATTGTTAGCAGAAGAATTCTACAATCCATAATTGAAATCCAGGTCTATCAGAAACCAAGTAAAATATGCCTTTCTTGGCTGTATTCGTAGCCGTTGAAACCAGATATACCACTCTGTCTCTGGTCAGTCAGGCACTATGTAGGCTATTGCGACTAGAGACCATCTCCGAAAAAAGCCACTATACGAGGGTGTCCAATAATAGACATGAATCCAGTCACCCTTAGCTATGTTTACTCAACCCTAACATTCATTACTGATGAATGTAATCGTCTTTAGCATTGTATTGTTCCAAGAAATACAGGAATCTGAGTTCGACGCACTTAAAACCCTGTCCTAACTTCTGAAATGCTACATGGTCTTTCTATGGACTTTGAAGGATGTCTTCCTACGAATGACCAACACTGCCTAGTCCCAGCATCTAATCCCGAAGTGGCTAGTGAGAACACGCCACTCCCAAGTTCTCCATTTGGCGACGAAACAGTGTCTGAATAAATTGGAAGCAGTAGTCTTAGAAATAGAATGGTTCCCGGATATTAAGAGGTACCAACAACCATCTACTAATATAGACCTGCATGCCTAGTTTCCTAAAAATTAGCTCTCAGCGGAAAGGAGTCAAAGGAAAGGATTAATGGTTAGATATCAAAAACAACGACCATAATATCTGACAATTCAGCAAACAATTTTATGTTATTGACCGAGTTTGTTTGCAAGGTACCTACACGTGTCCTAAATCTAAATGCCAATAGTTTGTAGGTAACGACTTCAATACACTGAAAAGAACAACATTCTGCGAACTAAATACCCCGCATAAATACATATAGTATTGCATTATGAATAATGAGTTATCCGACTTTAAGCTGAACCGTATAGTGTTCTTGTTTGGGAAGTTTCCATACGGTTATCAGTTTTCTAGGTTTATTTGCTGACCTGAGGGACAGTTCTGTGATGAGACAAATTTTAAAGAAATTTGAGTGGGAAGGCATATGCCCAGGCAACACGTGGATATTTTAAACACACTAACACTATTTATGGATAACAATCACTGGTTTATTAACATGCAACGTTTCGACGATGATACTCTCGTCTTTATCAAGCAAACGTTGCATGTTAATAAACCAGTGATTGTTATCCATAAATAGTGTTAGTGTGTTTACTGTTCAATTACTAAATGCCACTTAAAGAAGAAGAAGACGTGGATATTTTGTAATGGACTATATATGTGTTAATGCGCTGGTTAGTCTCTGTCACCCAGAACCTCCTAATCTTCAACGTCCGGAGGGTCTGGGACCGTTGTCAATTTTTAACGAAAAGCTCCATTCGCCATGCGTAACCGGGATTTTGGTTTTATATGTGGTTGATTATCCAGTATTTTTCGCCAAGTCAAGAAAGAGTTGTGCCCCTTCCCACAATTCTTGCATTATTATAAACTAACATGACGACGAATTAGGGTTAATTTTTAAAAAACAAAAAAAAACAACATAGATATGGCCCATGAAAGAAATTTTACAATAAAAAATAAGTGTGTTGGATATTGAACTGACAATGCAATCAAATGGATTTTCTGGAATGGCATTCTTAAGTTAATTTCATGGGCGTCAAGACTTTGTTTAAGATAATCTGAAAGGCCGGATAATCTAGCCAATGACCTATTATTCTCAAATGTTCACAACGCATCCAGACTAATATTCGTAGAATATTTTTTCGAGATGATAGAGACTATGCGCTG